CTAGGAGTAAAAGACACAGAGAGAAATTCTTTCCCTAGAGCTGGCACTCTGAACTTGGACATCTAGCTTCCTAAATTGTAAGAGAATACATTTCTGTTTGTTAAAGCTATCTATTTTTATTTCTGTTATAGCATCACTAAAGAACTAAGACTGTAATGAACAAGTCTTCTCAGTTATGGAGATAATACAGGATTTGTGCTTGTTTAAAAAATACGTGCAACTGGGCATGATGATACTACACTCTTTGTATTTTCCTATTAATCTCTCCAATAATTATAGTCTTATCTTATAATCAGACAATTTGCTTTCTGTCACATTTTTAATGTGGAAAAAAAAAAGCAGCAATCTACTATAAGGAGGTACTTTAAAAATGAGATCTTTTGATTAAATAAACAACAACAAAAATGTAATCATTTGATTTGATCTTTGAAATAAGATCCAAGATAGATAACATATACCTTCAAAAATTAATAATCATTTTGGTGGACAATATTTGGAGGACTAAATATAAACTTTGCTACTTTTCCCCAGGGAAAAAAAAAAAATTGTTTATATCTCTCTATCCTTATGGGTTTAAAAGTTTAATTTTAGTGTTAACATAAATAAAGAAAATGAATAGAACTTGATCTGGCTTTTATGAAACTTCTTTTAGAAAAGCATTTCTAGCTTTCTGGAATGTATATAAGACTGAAAGAAGCTCTGGTGACATAGTGCCTAAGTCATTTGACTGCTAACTAGAAGGTTGGTGGTTCAAATCCACCAACCACCCAACAGAAGAAAGACTGGGCTACTTCCATAAAGATCTACCACCTTGGAAACCCAAAGGGGGTCGCTATGAATCGGACCAAATTGACAGCAGTGAGGTTTTTTTTTTTTTTTTTTTTTTTAAATATAAGACTGTAGTTCAAGTCCCACCACCCCCAGCCTATACAGAGGTTGATGTCATCAGCCCCTGATGTGCTGTGAGCTAAGTATTCACGTTTGGCTCCATAATTCAGCGTGAGCACTGTGATATCGACCAGGGCAGCAGTGCTTAGCTCATGGCTCTCGAACCACATGTAAACTTCCACAAATTACTTCAGAGTTGCTACTTGGGAACAAACACATAGATCTTCAAAGAAAGTGATGGATGCAGATGTGTGAGTCATGACGCACATGCCTTCCTTGTATTTTGAGTTTTGGAGTAAACTGCTTTTCTTCAAAGTCAATCTGAATCAATGGGTAGCTTTCAATTACTTAGTCATTTAATCCAATGTTTATGATAAAACGCAACATAAAATCACTCGATGGTTAAAAGCCTTCAATGCCTTCTTTGGTTGTTGGTTTTGGAAAAGATATCAAAGACTAAAAGCAATTTCACTGGTGGAGGAACTATATGCACTGAACTACTATGACAAGAATGTTTCTAGTGCCACTGACAAAACCCCAAGGGAATGCAGTAGCTCCTTTTGCCTGAAAAAAAAAGAAAGAAAGCTGTTTTGCTGGTGTAGGCTGGATGAGGCTAGGTAAAAATTAACAAATATATGAACACATTTTTCATATTCCAGAGCCAGCTTTCTCTGGAAATAAGTCAAATGCACCATAGTGCAAAATACGGGTGAATTGCAAGGCTGATAACTCTTATTGTTAATTGTTCTTCGTTTCAACTCAGTGATTTTCTAGAACCAGAAAATTACTACTTTGGAAAACCCTTGACACTAATAACAATGTTCTTCTTTAGAAAGTATTCTAAATAAGTTGGTTGATTGGACCTCCTTTTCAGATGTCATTTTAAATGAAAGTTCTAGATGGGAAGGCTGAAAATTTGGGTTGTGAACAAATAAACCCATTATTAAATGTTTCAACTATTGTTACAATATTACTATAATATTGTTTTCCTAATTATTGGATTGAATACTGAGAAGCCAATCAGCATTCTGTTTGGGTAAATCTTATTATTTAATGAAAGAGCTTTGATAAGATCATCATAACCCTATTTATATGGTAAAAGAGCAAAGAAGAAACTAAACTAGCAACTCATCCATTTGCTCTAGTGACAATATAAGCTTTTTCTAAACCCACTTTTTCTCCAATGATGTTTACTATTGAGGAAAATTCCTCAGTTGAATTACACTGATAATTTTAATATCAATTCAAAGACTAAGGCAAATCTCTTTCAGGATGTACTTGCTATTCATTTACAATTTATTTAAATATTCTTTCCCCCAACTTGATAATAATATATGACTCTATTTCATACTCTCTGTCATTAAGTCGATCCCAACTCATAGCAACCCTAAGTCGTTGTTGTTGTTATGTGCCGTCGAGTCGGACCCGACTCATGGCGACCCCTCCTTGGGTTTCCGAGGTGGTATATCACTATGGAAGTAGATTGCCTAACTTTCCTTCTGGGGAGTGGCTGATGGGTTTGAACTGCCAGCCTTCTGGTCAGCAGTCAAGTGCCTTAGGCACTATGCTACCAGAGCAACCCTATAGGAGAGAGTAAAACTGGAGCTCTGGTAGCATAGTGGCTAAGGCACTTGACTGCTAACCAGAAGGCTGGCGGTTCAAACCCACCAGCCACTCCTTGGAAGGAAGGTTGGGCAATCCTACTTCGGTAGTGATACTGCCTCGGAAACCCAAGGAGGGGTCGCTATGAGTCAGGGCTGACTCGACGGCACATAACAACAACAACAACAACAACATAAGGTTTTCAAAGCTAGACATCTTTATAGAAACAGACTGCCTCATCATTCTCCCATGGAGTGGCTGGTGGGTTCGAACCGCCAACATTTTGGTTAGCAGCTGAGTGCTTTAACCCCTGCACCACCAGGCTCCTTCTATTTTATAGATGGTTATGTATCTCTGAGAGTATGACTCCTCAGAACTTTCAAGCTGCCCTTTCCGATCTCTTTCTAGAGAAATCTCACTATTCAACCAGAATAAATACAAGACAAGCAATGCACCTACAACAAATTATTTGATATTATTTCCCACTGTTCAGAGTTTGGGAATGTATATTTGCCATTCACTTTCTAATTTATAAACAATGAATGGAAAACCTTCATTTAGATGTCCAAGGACTACCTTCTCTAACTCCTCCAAATGTTTGTCACTTTCTTAATAAGGTCTAACTTGAGCAACTCATTTAAAATGTCAACCCATACATCTATCTCTCCTAACTCTTCCAACTTCTCATCGTTTTACCCTGTTTTTAGCTTTTTCCTCCCTTCCTTCTCTTCTTCCTTTCCTTCCTCTTCCCACCCTTCTTTCTTTCTTTCTTTTTTTACTGTAGTGGTGTGAGAGTTTACAGAGCATACTAGTTTTCCATTCAACAATTTATGCACATTTTATAACAAGACTTCATATACATTTCTTATTTGGCCTTCCTCCCTGGGTTCCCTGTTACCACTCATCCTTCTTCCCTACCCTTTCCTACCTTCTGAACTTTGTTTTTGGACATATGTTGCTCTTTTGGTCTTACAAAGTTGACTGTATTGAGGAGAACACTCCTCCCTGGTGCTTCTTCTTCTTCCTTTTTTTTTTTTTTTGCTCATAGGGTTACTCAAAGGTTTGTCATAACTCAGAATGGACTCAATGACACTAACAATAGCAACAATTTGTATACATAATTCACTTACTCATATTGTACATTATTTATTGTCTGATTTCTCCAGGCAGAAAATATATTCCACACTCAAAACCCATTGATTCCCACTCACAGAAACATAGGCAGAGTATATAGGGCAATGTAGAACTGCCCCATAGGGTTTTCAAGGTTGTAAATCTTTACAGAAGCAGACTGTCACATCTTTCTCCTGTGGACTGGTTGGTGGATTCAAACCACCAACTTTACAGTTAGTAGCTGAGTGCTTTAACTATTGCACCATCAGGGCTCCTTTTACTCTACAAGGGCAGCCCTTTTTGATTGTTTTGTTTGCCAAGTGCTCAATGAATGTTTTTCCAATGTATGAATTAATTGAGATGATAGAAGCAATGAATATAAATCATTTATTGAGATGACTGAAACTGCTGAAGATAAAAGTCCCCTACAGGGCAGACCGAAACTGCTGAAGATAAAAGTCCCCTACAGGGCAGTCCGAAACTGCCTAAATTAGAACTGCTCAAACATTCTCATTCGTCTTCTAAATTTTTCACTTTTTTTCATAGCATAATGGATGCATGTTTCACCCTTAAAATTTTATCAGGTACTTATCTACACTAAGGAGCTCTGGTGATGCAGTGGTTAAGGCATTTGACTGCTAACCAGAAGACTGGAAGTTCAAACCCACTAGCCGCTCTGCGAAAGGAAGATGGGGCAATCCACTTCCGTAAATATTTCCACCTTGGAATCCCAATGGGGGTCACCCATTGAGTAGGAATCAATTTGATGGCAGTGGGTTTTATCCACTTTGGCCCTTAGTCTCTGCATTTGTAGAAATAAGACGATTGATTTAACTGATCTTTAAGATTTTCATCTCTGATAGTCTATGACTGAATAACAGTAGGCAGCTTACCAGGAAGAAAGGCCTGACAATCTACTTCCAAAACTCAGCCAATGAAAACCCTATGGATCACAATGGTCCATCTGCAACCAATCACTGGGATGGTGCAGGTCTGGCCAGTGTTTCGTTCCATTGTGAATGGAGTCGAGGGTTGACTCAATGGTAGGCAACAATAAATAACAATAGGCAGGACAATGAAATTAGCACACTATTTCAGAGAGGAAAATTATGCTTTGGTCTCAATTCTATCACCAAAGTAGCTAAGAGAGCTAGCATAATCTTCCATGGTCACAGCTTTCTTACATATAAAATGAAAGAATTGGACTAAGGTCCCTTTGAGTTCAAATATTTCATCACTGCTAGGTCTATAAAAAGCATTGCTGTTTTGCTTTGCCTCCCCACTCTTTTGAAAACCATTAGTTTCAAAATGATGCATGTATATGACATGTGTAAATGAATACTGGTGCCCCTCCCCCCAGGTCCTTCTCTTTTAGGGATGCTTCCTGTAGCTCTTACCATCAGGGAATCCATCCCAGATTTCTAGCCGGTCATAGCGACAGAACATCCCCCCCGGAGGATTTGAGTCAGGCTCCAGGTCAAAGCTTTCAAATTCCAGGATAATCTCTGACATCTTTGGTGCAAAGATAATATAAGTACATTCCAGGCTGTTGGGATATTTTTCAGGGAATCCAGGGGACTTTATGACTCCACTAGGTGTTGTGTAGTTCTGGGAACATTCGGGACCTACAAGGGGAAGAGAAGGAGGAGAAAAGTGACGATCCCACTCATATATGACTTCACTAAGAAATAACCTGGGAAGGACCACGTATCTTTCTAATGAAAGTCCACAATTTTTAATCACTCATTACTCAGCCTCTTCTATTAGTGATAGGTATGGAAAGTCAACTTGAGATTTATTGTATTCACCCTCGTTTTCCATTTGTGTGGAGCAATTTAAAAACTTCTGCTGTTGCAGAAAAAGAAAAAAAAAAGGACAGATATAAAATCATGTGGGAACAATGAATGAGTAAGCTGCAGAAATCTCGACATCCCTAGAGAAATAATTATAGCCCCTTCAAGCTTAAATCTTTAAATCTTAAGGCTGACAGCCCTTTATTGGTGAAATAGAACATTTGCAAAAGCGAGAGAGTGAATTCAGTGGAGGGAGTTTGGGTTTCAGATTCCTACACCAGTGACTCAGTAACTCTGCCAGATGTGACCTATGCCTCTTTGACAAACTAAATGTGAAAGGTAATTCGTACATGGACCCAGGGTGAGTGACTCATTCTGAGTGGTGTTGACACAGGTGTGCTGGTAAAGTGTGGCTGTTAGTGAGGGCACGATAAACTGTGATTACAGGCCTTGTTGCTGGAAGTCACCTAATATCAACGTTGACATCCTAACCTTCCCCAAAGTATCAGATACTGTACTGTATGCCATTCTAAATTGTTTATTATGGAAATGTTGGCAATAAGGGCAATGTGCATGTGTGTGAGTATTTATAATGTATATTTTTAATGACTGTTTCATGTTATCAAGACTTTACAAATTATGGCGATTTGTCACTTAAATTAAAATTGGTCAAGGGCATGTATATATAAAGCAAATTGACCTTCCAACTGCATGAATGACCACAATTTCAATTCATGGTAACCAGTGCTGAATAGGGTGCTCCTCACTACATGACTGAAAGCTTCACTTCTATATAGACACAAGCATACCAGCTCACTACCACCACCATCACTTCTGCCATGATTCTCAGATAACTAAATTTAAAGCTTTGTGTGAATCAGAGATTTCTTGACCCTTTTGAATCTCAATAAAATTCTGACATGTTCAATTAAACAATTCTTCCTGAGCCACAAAATTGAGATTCTGCCCATTTTTGTGGCTCTTTCTTGTCTCACTGCTATGTGCAAACAGAAGGGCACCCTACAATGGTATGCATGGTTTCAACACTAAACAAGGTGGTTGGGTAAAATTTTTCTTAACTAACTGTTCTCCAAGAGTGCCAAGCAACTAAAAGAAACTTATTAGGCATCGATACAGATTAAATTTAACTAGCCAGGTCTCTATTTTTAGTGGCTCATGTCAGGAAGCAGAATCTCTTCTTTAGTGCATCTGGCAGCCAATAGAGAAGGCAAATCAATCGTTTTCTCCCTGTAGACATATTAGATAGCCATGGCATTGGAGACTCAAAGAATACTTATTAAATGGGCACAATGAGCCTGATTCACAGAGGTTTGATTTGATTAAATAACTCCCAAAACCTTCTTGGAAAGGCTCAATCTTCTTTATGACTGCCTCAAATACTTACTATTTGATTCTGATTTAAAAGTTATTAACATGTTGCGTTTTGCCATGCCAATTCCAGTTAAAGAGTTTCTCGCATGTAGTGTATAGTGTTATAGTGTATAATCTGTTTCTAAATTACTTTGATGGCTTCTAACAGGACAAATACTATGCCAATTTAAGTCATCAAAGAAAATATAAGATACTGAGAACCCTTTAGAATTTTATTTCCAAGATGTGAGAACAGTGACAGTGGAGGCTCAACTTTTCCCTGGGTGGGGGAGGGGAGCCTAGGTCAGGTCCTTTAAGGCAAAGAAAACAGTAGAGTTGAATTCAGGTAGTAATGTTGTCATCCCTTAAAATGATTAATCTAGGTGAGACTGAGATATAATAAGAGGGTTAGGAAGAGTATGGATCAAAAAGGGGGAAATGCAGAACAGATTTTAAAATTCTCATGGACTCTAGACTTTCTGGAGCTGTGGTGGGTGGGTGAACCCCTAAAATTATTGCCCTGAGATAAACTTTAACCCTTAAATCTATCTATCTATCTATCTATACACATATATTTCCTGAAGTCTTCTTAAAGTCAAACAGTAGTAGTTTAACTAGTTTAAAAAAAAAAAAAAAAAAAAGTCTGCCTTGAGTATTACGCTCTTTAAGAACTATCTATGAGGGATCAAACTGACAACAGCAACTTAAAAAATTAGATAGGGAAGGTTAGAGGGCAATGAGTTTATGTTAATGGAGAGGAATAACTCAGAAAAGGAGGATGAGAATGGTTGCACAAGTCGAAGAATGGAATCAATGTCAGACTTGAGCACGTAGAAACCATTGAATTGGTGTTTTGCTGTGTATATTTTCAACAAAAACAAAATAGATAAAAGTTTTTAAAAAGGACTTAAGAGGAACAGAGTGATAGAAATTAAGAGCATACTTTCAAAACAATGAATTTCAAGGCTTTCACTGTACCCTCGTAATGCCAGATACTTTTAAAGCTAGGTCAAGTTTTCGAACATATTTTGACAAGACTTGGGGAAGAGGCATGGGGTAATGGAAAGAACTGGACTGAGCATCAGTAGACCTTAATTCTAGCTCTACTACAACTAATCTACTGTGTAACCTTGGGGGAACCACCTAACATTTCTGGTCCTTAGAAACTGCATGAAAAGTGGGGGTTGGGCTTTAGAATTTGAAAAAAAATAAAATCCTTGTAAGTTAAAGATTCTGTAATTCCTTCCTTCTTCCATTATCTACCAAATTTGTTTTAATATTTTCCTTTTTCACTGCTGTGAAAGTTTGTCACAAGTGAACTAGTACCTCCTCACAAAACAAAAATGGTGGGAGTAGATTTAAGAACAGTAGGATAAGTCCATACTAATAAACAGGAAGAAGGTGATTTTGCTACCAGCCCTGTGTATCTAGGAGTGAATGAGCTGCTGGTGTGAGTGGGGCACACACAAGCACTGGGAGCCAGTGAACTTCATGCTTCTGAAGTTATTTATAAGATTGAGAGACACTTGCATAGCGATAAGAATTGCATCCACATTTAACATTAATGTTAAATGGCAATAAGGATGAATAATAATAGCAAAGATATTCTATAAGCAATTACATTAAATATATAGACTATTAAGCAAATAACATATATCAACTCACCAATTCTGCTCTCAATAAACGTCCCTCCACCCAGTCCCTGTCACAAAACCTGTAAGCTTATTCCATCCAGCATTTGGGCCTAGACGGGAGGGGCAGGGGCGAAACGCTTGGGTTTCCTAGAGAAATTCCTTTAGGTGAATGGGAATAACTTTAGGGCTAGTGGCCTATGGTTTTAGCACCTGGGAAGGGAAATGTGGGGTACCTAGGAAGAACACAGAGATGGTCCAGATTGTCTCGGAAAGGAACAGGAAGAGATAGAGACTGGCTTTGCTGATGATCAGGCAAAGAGAGTCCTATAGAAATGCAGCCCAGAAACTCAGAAATGACCAAAATCTCTCTTAGAATGGTAATATAGTGCTGGGATAATTCAAGGTCGGTATGTGAAAGATTAATTTCCTTGTTGCACTAAGCTATGATTAAAACAATCCATGTTTTAAGGAACTTGATATTGTTGTACCCAGAAAGAAGTGCTAGATAGATTTATGGATTTGATAATATTACTAAATGACTTTTGAAGAAAAAGTGTTTATGAACCTGTATATGTATACATAAATGTACTTCATTAATTAGTAACTGTTTTAGAGTAGCTGTTGGCAAATAATACTGAGTATAGCATGGACTGCCGAAGACTGTACAGAAGAGGTACCACTGCAATGTTCCTTAGAAGTGAGAATGGCCAGATTTCATCTCTTATACTTTGGTCATGTTATCAGGGAGGACCAGTCCCTGGAAAGGGTCTCATGCTTGGTAAAGTCGAGGGTCAGCAAGAAAGAGGAAGACTTCAACAAGATGGGTTGACACAGTGGTTGCAACAATGGGCTAAGCATAGCAATGATTGTGAAGAGGACACAGGACCAGACGGTATTTCATTCTGTTGTACATAGTGTCACACACACACACACACATATATATATATGTTCGTGTGTGTATACAGTGTGTTGTTGTTAGGTTTTGACCAGCCAGTTCTGACTCATAGTGACCCTATGCACAACAGAACAAACCACTGACCATTCCTGCCTCATCCTCACAGTTGTTGCTATATTTGAGCTCATTGTTACAGCTACTGTCAATCCATCTTGTTGAGGGTCTTCTTTTCTCATGACTCTATACCAAGCATGGGAGCTCTGGTAGCATAGTGCCTAAGGCATTTGACTGCTAACCAGAAGTCTGGCAGTTCAAACCTACCAGCCACTCCTTGGAAGGAAGACTGGGCAATCTATTTCCGTAGAGATACCGCCTCAGAAACCCAAGTCACTTCCAACTCATAGAGACCGCTCCTTGGTTTTCCGAGGTGACATCTCTACGGAAGTAGATTGCCCAGTCTTCCTTCCAGTGAGTGCTTGGTGTGTTTGAACTGACAGACTTCTGGTTAGCAGTCAAATGCCTTAGGCAATACACCACCAGAGTTCCCTACTATTCATTTTTCAGATGAGGAAACCAAGCCTCTGAACATTCACACCGATAGCCATAAACAGAATTGGGATTGAAATCCAGGTCTGTGGACTTCACAATATGTATTTCTAACCACCTCGCTCTCTGAAGCAGGAAAGTCAGATTGTGGATTTGTGGGAATTGAAGTTGGAGAAGTGCAGGGAGCAGGTGATGTCAAGTCTTGAGTGGAACATTGAGGCTTGACACAATAGGCCATGGAGATCTGTGGGTGTTGTGAGGAGAGTGACTGATGGCTATTTGAAAAGCTCTGTGGAAGACAAAGTAACATGGGGAGAACGACAACTGGAAGACAATATGTTAATGGCAGTATATGTGGAAAGGGAGCCATGACTCTTTGATACCTCTGGATGAACATTCAAAGGAAGTAAAGGCCATATTGGATTTACGGAGTCAAGAAGAACAACAACAAAATAAGGCTTCAAGTATCAAGGATGATACTGGGGAACAGGACAGAGAGACTGTTCATTTTTAGACTAACAGAAATGTGGGAGCTGAGTTCACGTGAAAGAAAGATGCAGAAATCTCCATAGTATCAGATCACTCTCTTTTCTCTTTCAACCATGTTCAGATCTTTGGTAACACTGAAAATGATGAAAGGTTATTCTTGGTCTCTTTCTGATACCTTTATTCTTTGATAGTCCCATATGCAGGTAAGCAAGAAATTGTAGACATATACTTATACATACATACATATATAATATTAACATATAACAAGTCAAGCAGCTTTCAGCACAAGAAAATATGTACCTATGTTATTGACTGTACATTTTGATGTTATATGCATACTATTGATTGTACTAAAGGTGCTCTAAGTATGTGCTTAGATACATTTCTGAAGAAAGTTCTCTTCATTTATTCATATTTATATGGGTAGGGCTAGATTTCTTGGAAATTTAAAGAAGTTGCCCAGTGTTCCCAGAAACTCCTAATGGCTCTTCTTTGTATAATTCTCAGATGTTGCTGACACAGAGATGTTAGACTTTTATAATTGGTATGGCTAGATTTTTGTTTCTACTAAAAAAAAATAATTTATCTTTCTCCTATATTCAAGAACAATACATTCAAATCTTGAATTTCTCTCCTTGGATCGGTGGTCCACATATTAATGTCATCTTAAAAATGTAAATAATTGAAAGGCTGAATTGAACACAGAAAAGGATTCTACTGGTTGATGATGAAAACAATGATTTCCAGATAAAGTTACATCGCTTATTTATTGCTTGATAATGTGTTTTTAAATCCTTCAAGGTTAGGAATCTATGACTTGTTAGAGTCCACCCTATCCCAATATACACCACAAAAACATTGTTAACGGAAAAAGATTAGCCAGTGATTTTATTGAAAAGTGTGCCTGAGTTTTTACTCCTAATGAGAGTGTCATTTAAAGCATTAAATGCTTCTTTCCCTCCAAGAGCTTTTACCTCCTACAACCTCTGTTTAGTAGAAAGTCTCTTCTTTTCTTAGTAGCTTTAGAAACTATAAGACTGGGGGCTGCTTTCCTTTTCCTGGGAACTTCCAGTCTTGAATGTTGTGATAAAATAAAGGGAACAGGGTGTACATGACTTTAAGGAAAGAAGGGGGACTAATGCATTTTTACGAAGATAAATCAAGTTTCAGGAGTAGCTTAAACTAATTTTTGAAGAAAAAGATAAAAATAAATGCTTTTAAAAGAATTTTACAAGGTATATTCTTCATACACGGGCCAACACATCAAAATGATGAGTTTGATTCCTGAAATACACTTTCCAGTTTCAAACATACTTCTTCCATGTAACAGGTAATTTTTTTAAAGTATTTTCCATCATGCTTATAATGGAAACATATATACTTGTTTTTTTTTTTTTTATGAGAGGATCCTGGCCTTTCTTTGAACTTTGTTGTCTTCCACGAATCTAACATTAACAAACATTTAGTGATACTTGGTATAAGTTATTTACCCACCTCTCTTGAAAATTTCATAACGTATGGAAAATCCTGCACCATGAGTCTCGTAGTCAGAGACAAATCTGATGAAGAGAACCGGCCCTGAAGACACTACAGGAGAAGGGGCGATCTTTCCACAGAACTTTCCCCATAAGCGTCCATTTGCATTGTCTCCATCAATGACTTCCACGTAGTCATACCTAGTATATAAACATGGTAAGAAGACATTAGCTTGGTGAGAAATGCCTTTTTAATTTCCATAATTTAAAAACCAGTATTATCCAGCATAGTCTGTCAAAAAAAAAAAAAAAAAATCTGCATTCAAAGCATTTGGTAGGAAAGAAAAACCTACCAAAATGAAATAATTAAAATGGACTACATCATGTCTGTATACATCATCTGGCAACACAGAACTATTAAGAATAATGGTGTCCATTATACTTGCAGACAATGTCAGTTAAAGTAACCAATTAACAAGAAAAAGAAAAATCTCATGTGCACAATTCTCTATTACTAAATTGTGTTCCTTTGTCTATGGTGGTGGGGTGTCAATACATAATGCTATGCATTCTTTTCAAACTGTGAAGTTCTTTTATGAATTCAAAATGTCTCCTTGGCTGGAACTCTCCATGAACAATACTTTGATTTCTGTGAGCGACCCTCTACACATATGGCCACAGAATAATAAACAGATTCTTTACTATTTAACTCAATTCCACCCAACTCTAGACTTCTTAGAAAAAACTCTCTCAGTATCCACATCCGATGATTAAAACACATATCATCTTCTTCAAACCTACACTAGGATCATAGAACACAATTTCTCTAAAGAAAAAAAAATATTAAAAATGGAAATTAACTTTGTTTATACCTGCCCACAGCCTGAATCTTTAAAGGAATATTATTGTCTGAAAAAGAAAAATCACACAGTTGATGAATACAAAAGTGAAGTGATAGCAAAAATCTAATAAAATAAGGTATAAGGAGGCACATAAGGAGCTCTTGTGGTGCAGTGGATAAGACATTTGGCTGCTAACTAGAAGGTCAGTGGTTCAAATCCACCAGCTGCTCCATGAGAAAAAGAAGAGAAAATCTACTTCTGTAAAGATTTACAGCCTTGGAAACCCATTGGGGGTCAATATGAGTCAGAACTGACTCTGTGACAGTGGGTTGGGTTGGGTTTGGTGGGGAGGTATATGATGAAGAAGTAATAATAAATTATTACTCTAAAGATTGCACTGGGATAACAGACACATTCCAATCTTATCTGTCTCTAAAATGTGGAAAACCATCACCAATAACCTAGTGACCCCCAGGATGGTAGTTTAATTTTTGTTTGTTGTCCTGTATTTCTTAGTATCTTGCTCTTTTCTTTCTTTTTATTTACCAAGTCACCTAGGAGCCAGATAATCTGATTTGTCTTCCATTTTTCTTCTAGACCTGACATGAAAACATTGCCATCCATTCATTTTAAACCTTTATTTTATTTCTCTGTTTAACTTGGTTCAAAGTCCTGGGATATATTAATTTCAGGAATGGCTAAAATATGGCAGTAACATAAACTCTGTCTGGCAATTCAAAAGAGATCAAAGTTGGGGATATCTTCATGATGACCAGTGTCATCTTTAACAATCCCTTTTCAAACTGCCCAGGACACATTACTTATGTTTACACAAAGTCTCATGAGACAACTGCAAAGATGATATCACTAGTTAACGCGGACGGCTTAAGGCTCTTTAAATTAAAAATGACATTACCTCATCAGTTAAAATTGTGTGCCAGTTTTGTATATATCAAGAAGAAAATAAAGCTGACATTGATGGAACTAAGCATTAACATATGTGAATTATTATATTAACTGCATTTCCTCGGCTGCATCTGATGTTTCCAGTAGTAATCACTTGGCCCGCTGGCATTGCTGTCCCTTTTCAAAACGATGGAAATACACAGAGGAATTGTGCATTTCTCAATACCTTGGGAGATGCTTTGCATGTTAAAAGGAGGAGGAGGACGAGGAGGAGGAAAAGAAATAGAAGTGGTGGAGGAGGAGGAGGATGAAGAAGGCATTATGTTCAAAATCCTAACTAGACATTTACATTCAACTGGGGGCAGCTGAAAAGAACACCATTGCTGTATTCATTAAAGCCCTAGAAGTTGGCATTTATGGAGTAATTCCTTTTATCTTGACTGCTTCTTTGACAAGACAGGTCTGCATGTTTTGTCCCATGCTTTCATATAATTTAGCTGTGATTTGAACTGTTGGCTGTGTTTAGCCTGGCTACTGTGCATCTAGCAGTGCCTATATATAGGATTTTTATTTGGATCTTGCCATGATCTGAATACTAAGTGGTCAAATCCAAGCACATTCTGCCTTTCAGTCATAAATAAGAGAGGTGGGTCAGGCATTTCTGAAGAACTGAGGGCACTCCAGCGAGGAGACCTTTCTCCCAGGTATTTCAGGACTCGGATAATGGAGTGCCGGTGAATTGCAATCGGGAAAGAAGTTAGTATTTTAATTCACATATCCTCCAGTAGTAAATACTAGACTCTCCTCTTGGCAACAGTGAGAGCTATTCTTAAAAGGGAAAGAGAGATTAGAATCCCTTCCCAGCAAGAGATAAGTCATTGCATCGTTAACTGCCAATTTTAGGAGACTGAATTATTCAGGGGACCTGAGAGTTTATATTTGTAAACTGGAATGTGGCTATCATTTTAGCACTTTCCTTTGAAGGCTCATCCAACAGGACTCCAAAGAGTATCACAAATAGCAGTTCTTGTAAATATTCAGGAGGGTTTATGTGCACAAGTTGCAAAGCGTAGCATTGCCAAAGAAGTTAGGAAAGCAGCTTGCAACTCCCTCTGGAGTTGATACCAGTTCCACTCTATACGTTTCTCACTGGCAAACCTGGTGCCAGGAATGTGGCTAGTGTGCCAGCATCCCTCTCCAGAGACTAAATGTGTCACCACAGCAACGTACCCAGCCTGCATTGGCCTGAGGCCCAGGATCCTGAGTTTGCAAATTTCGGTCCCTCCAGCCGGCTGCACATTGCTCTGTTACTGCTGCCAGTGTGGCAAACACTGCATTTCTTGGAATGTCATGAGTCCTCTAGTAGCAAGGGCAGAGACATGCAAAGGTGAAGATGAAGGCAATTGTTTGATTCTTTTTCTGAACAACGGGCTCCAGCTGTTAGAGGAGAAGTGGGCATTGTGTCTGAGGAGGTGATTCTATGAGAGCTAGAGGAGGGGTCAGAAAGGTGACTTCTCTGTTTGAAGCCCTGTGGCTTGAAGGCCCCTGCCATTCTCTAAAGAGAATGCTCTAGGTGACAAGGAGGCTGTCTGGATCCAAAGAGCAGTACCCTTCCATGTGGGAGCCTGGAACAAGGACTCTTGCTTTTCAAATATAGATTCCCGCTAAGAAAAGACCCTCCCCACCCCTCACCCCCACCGCTTATCATTCAGAGAATTTTAATGGAATGTAGCTTTTTAAATAATATTCAGGAGACAACCAGCCTGTACATCTTGTAGACATCTTTCTACTTTTTTTCTTAAATCCTCCACTTTTAAAGCTTTCATTTTCTATACTAACAATGGAAAAGTGGGTATATGTTTCCTGGAAAGTAATACAAAGATCTCTACCACTTGCCTGTCAGTTTGTTGTACTGTGGTGGTTTTGCATGTTGCTGTGATGCCGGAAGCTATGCCACCAGTATTTCAAATACCAGCAGGGTTGCCCATGGTGGTCAAGTTTCAGCAGACCTTTCAGATTAAGACAGACTCAGAGAAAGGCCAGGACACCAACTTTCAACAATTAGTCAATGAAAACCTATGGATCACAACAGAACATTGTCCAATGCACTTGCTTTAGATATATCATCAGGAAGCACCAATTGATAGAGGAGGACATGGTGTTTGGTAAAGTGGAGCAATGGTGAGGGCAAAGGAGACCCTCCGTGAGCTGAGCTGGGCCCAGTGATGGACTCGAACATCCTAGCAATTGTAAGGATGATACAGGACTAGACAGTGTTTTGTTCTGCTGTACATAAGGTCACCATAAGTAGGAGCTGACTCATGGGCAGCTAACAATAACAACAATGCAAAGATGGCTATCTAAGCCTTTTGCAATTAAAAGGCATTCACCAACTCTTTCAACACTAGTGTATAATAAGTTTGTGTGGCTCTTTTCACTTGTGCCCCTGACGTTAGAATCCCAACTCCTTAAGCTAAAGGACCATATCTTTTTACACCATGATATATCTTACTTTCATATTTCCCTACCCTCACTCTACATAAAGTATATGTGGGTGGTGAAAATATTTTGAACCTTAATAGTAACCACAAGTTAGGTTTCCCATAAGAGTGATAAAAGAATAAAGATTTCCTTCTAAGAATTCTTGAAAGGATTTCCCAGAGATTATTATTATTATTATTTTCTTTTGGCAAGTTTGAATTATAGGTTTAGGAAAATAGCCAAGTAGGGGGAAAAAGTGATGGAAAAATCAGAAATGTTTTCAGTCACTCCAGAGAGGTTTCAGGAGCTTTATAGGTATGCTGTGCTGAATAGACGGATAGCATACTTTACTTAAGTTGGGTTTTCCCTTGTGAGTACCAATGACCCCTGACTCTCTATGGTGGAACCCGTTAATGGAAGGAAAGTTAATCCTCTGCAGGGTGTTGTCTGATACAGTGAGCTACTGTACCCGCCCCTCAAGGTGCTGGCCATTGTTGCACTGTTAGGAAGGAGAATTCTAGGAGGTAGTGTCTCTTTAATCTCCTTTCAAGAGGATCTCCCTCCACGTGCATAAATACATTAATAACGGAGAAATCTGATATCTGACATCATAAACCAGGGTGAGAAATTATGTTGGCCAGCATAATTTTCACCTGTAAAAATGTGTTTGCTTGGCTCTTTGGTTTATTTTGCACAAAGCATTAATGGTTATCCCAACAGAACAACCTGCAAACGATTACTTTGCTGCTGTCCAAGAAAAGAATTACCTTAACATATCCCCCACAAGAGAACAGACTTTTTTTTTTCCCAGTGTATTAGAGAGAGGATTTGGAAATAAATATGTACAATGATGGAGCTAGGAAGGGCCAAATTTCTCTACATCTGCGTTTCTGAGCGATTTTACGTGAGATTCACCCCAAGCAGTTCTGGCCTGTTGGCAATATTCTTACTATGATGCATGAAAAGCCTGAC